AATACTCTTCTCCAGCACCACAGCTCAAAGGCATCGATTCTCCTTCTATCCTCCTTGGTCATTGTCCAACTCTCTGATGCATAACAAGTGATAGGAAAGACCAAGGCCTATATCAGACGCCCCTTAATTTTTACTCAAGCCACAACTTAAAAAAACCCCAACAATTCAAAGAACCCCCTAAACACCAAAAACTCTGACCTTCAGCATGTGGTTACTTTAGTTGCTTTCAAGTCTTCCTGGTGACCTCATATGTTACTACGAGAGAGGTGCTCATAGCATGTCCTTGGCTGTAATCTTTATGGATTCAGATTGCCAGGCCCTTTCTTCCGTGGGACACTGGGTGGGTTTGGCTCATCAACCTTTAGGGTAATAGGTGAACATAAACTGTTTCTGTTGCCCCCCAAAAAAACCAAACCACAAAACCCACCCACACTCATTGCTGTTGAGTTGATCTCAGCTTATGTTGTTGTGTTCCAATTCTTAGCAACCCTGAGCATCACAGAACGAGATGTTACCTGTTCCTGCAAAGCCTCACACAATCATTGTTGAATTTAAGCCCACTGCTGCACTCACTGTGTCCACTCAGCTGGGTGAAGGTCATTTCTCTTTTTTGCTGACCCTCTAACAAGAATCATGTCCTTCATCCTATAGGACAGGTAGAACTTGGGTTCCCAAGGTTGTAAGCTTGATGGAACCAAATAGCGACATTTTTCTATCCAGGAGTGATGAGTGGGTTCAAACTGCTGACCTTTTGGTTAGTAGCCACATACTTTCACCCTTCTACCAACAGGACTCCTCTCAGGAACCTTTGTGACTCTTTTAATTCAAAGCACTGCTGTTCATTAAGCACCTGCTATACGGCAGGTCTTAGTACCTAATCCTAACACACAGTAGGGACAGCTGTCATGGGGCTTGCCTTCTTGGGATTTCTTGCACCTTGGCCTTGAGAACATGCTCTCCACACTGCTGCTGGTGTGACTGCCATCTGCATAGAGCTGATCTGGGGTGCCTGCCAACCCAAGGATAAGAAGGTGGTATCTAGTGCAGGCAATCTAGGGGAGGAAGGTGACCTACCTGCCTTGCAGGCTTCTAGCTATGCAGCTCTTGCTGGTCCATGTCCTCCACTCTCGGTACAGTCAGAGTCCCGAGTAGGGGTCCTCCAGTGGGGCTTTGATGCTCAGACCATGCCCACTTGCTCAGCATTTTAGGGGGTACTGTGGGACAGGCATCCGAAGATTCTGGAAATGCCCTGGACAGCTCCGGTTTGCAGCCAGTTTTCTGAACCCTGGGGGGAACTGGCAGCCTAGCTGTATGTAAGCACAGAGGACTGAGAGTTAAGCCCTGCACCTGGGCACACCATCGCTGCTTCTCTATGCAGAGTGCTTTGCGTCTCCAGCCAGTCACAAAGCCCCTGATTCCATCCACAGGTACGATCTGGAACCATCTTCGACAACTTCCTGATCACAGACGATGAAGAGTATGCTGACAACTTTGGGAAGGCCACCTGGGGTGAAACCAAGGTATGGTGTTCAACATGTGCACGCAGTTCACTTTTCTGTCATCATTTATTTTTGTCCTTTTTTTTTAAAGTTGAAGTCTAACACTTGGAGTCCCTGGGTGATGGAAACATCTCAGCACTTGATTACTAACCCAAAGGTTGGAAGCTTGAACCCATCCAGTTGTGCCTTGGAAGACAGGTCTGGCAATCTGTTTCCCAAAACTCACAGCCTTAAAAAATCCCCTAGTTATACTTTGCACATATGGGGTCCTCATGCATCAGAGCCAACTCAATAGCCACTAACAGGAGCACCAACATTTCAGAAAGGACGTGGTAAATTTTTACCCCGAGGTGCTTCAGAATAAGAACTGGTGATCGACTTTTGAAAAATCAGTCACTGGCGACCCTGTGGAGCAGAGCTCTACCGGACACACATGAGGTGCGGTTGACTTAATAGCAGCTTGCTTTTTTCTTTTTTAATTACCCTGAAGGCCCATCCAGATAATCCAGAATCAGCTCCCCAAGCCAAGATCTTTACTACATCCTGTCCTCGAGTTGCAATACTTAAAGATGCTGTGGGCAGACTATTGAATGATCCAGGAAGCATTTAAAGAAGATGGGAGTAGGACACAGAGTCCTTGGCTGACACAGAAAAATCCCATGGGACAATATCTCTATCTCTATCTCTGTATCATCTACATCATCTCTCTCTCTCTCTCTCTCTTTCTTTCTCTCTCTATCTCTATCTATCTCAAGAGGAAGTTCAAGCTGCTCTGAAGGATTTGGCAAGAAACAAGGCCCTAGGAATTGATATAATACCAAAGGACATATTTCAACAAACAGATGCTGCCCTGGACATGCTCACCTGATTGTGCCAAGAAATCTAGAGGACAACTTCCTAGTCAAGTGACTGGAAGATATCCATATTTATTCCCATTCCAAAAAAAAAAGGTGATTTGACAGAGTGTGGGAAATATTGAACAATATCAAAACCTCCTGGAGGGCCTTTATATTTAACAAGTTGGGTCCGAGGGATCACCTTTTAATCCTTTGCTACTATATTTTGGAGGACCATTCTTCTAAGTCGTACAGCACTCTTTGGTAAGTTTGCTGTGCTGAGGTAATCTGGATCTGCTGTGATGTTGACTCTTGTATCATTGGGGTCACAAATGCCATAATGGCTGCCATGGTGAACAGGATTTGGTGGAGTTCCCAGTTTTAAGACAGGTGTGGAAGCAGGAGTGGCGTCCACTTCCTAAACCACATGCCTCTGGAAACTCTATGAACTTGGAGAAACAATAGTTATAGAAAGGCCTCAGGTCTTTTGTTCATGGAGTCGCTATTAGTTGTGTGCTACTCAAAGGCAATCAACAACAAAACCAACAATCACTAATATTACACACAAGCAAAATCCTGCTAAGATTATATAAAAAATTACTGGGACAGTAAATCGACAAAGAACTGCCAGAGATATAAGCTGGGTTTACAGGAGGCCGTGATAGTAGGGACATTATCACCAGAATCAGATATATGTTGGTTGAAAGCAGAGAGTACCAGAGGAATATCTATCTGTGTTTCATTGACTATGCAAAGGCATTAGACTGTGTGGATCACAAAATAGTGTGGCTAACATTGAGAAAAATAGGAATGGGAATCCTAGTACACTTGATTGTGGTCATGTAAAAACTACAATTGGACCAAGAAGCAGTCATCAGAACAGAGCAAGGAAAACTGCATAGTTCAAAAATCATAAAAGGGGTGCATCAGGGATGCACGTCTCCATACCCTTTCAATCTATATGTGGAACTGATCATTCAGGAGATTGGGCCTTATGAGGAGGAACGTGACATCAGGATTGGAGGTGAATTCATCAACAACATGCAATATACAGAAGACACAACCTTGCTTGCTGAAACTGAGGAGGAACTGAAGTGTTTTATGCTGAAGGTTAAGGATTGCAGTGTTCAATATGGATTGAAGCTTGACTTAAAAACCAACAAAACCCAGCAAAGATTCTCACTACTTGGCCAATTGGCAGCACCATAATTGATAGAAAAGAAATTGAAGTTGTTAACAATTTTGTCTTGCTTGGATCCACAATCAACACTCTTGGCACCAGCAGTCAAGAATTCAAGAGACAAATTGCACTGGGGAAAATTTGCTGTCGGGGATCAAGCTCATGGCCTTCACAATTACATGCTATTTATCAGAGAGCTGGACAGTGACTAAGGATGACAGAAGAACCACCAATGCCTTTGAGTTCTGGTACTGGAGAAGAGTATTGAACATACCTTGGATGGCCAAGAGAACAAAAAGGCCTACCCTGGAGAAGGTGAAACCAAGCTGCTCCCTGGAGGCAAGGATTTTGAAGTTCTGTCTCACATGCTTTGGGCATGTGGCCAGGAGGGAATGATCTTTGGAGAAGGACATCGTGCTTGGAAGGATGGAGGGACAGTGCTGGAGAGGAAAACCCTGGACGAGATTGATTGACACAGTAACTGGGGTAATGGGGGTAGGTGTGTTCGAGTCAGTGAGGTTGGCAAAGGATGGGGTAAGGTTCAGAGCTATTGTGCACAGAGTCACTATGAGTTGAGGTGACTTGAGAGCACATAACAACAGCAGCAATAAAACAACTTGCAAAGATTCTTTCCCCCCACCCCCGACAGTAGTAACACCTACAGATTCTGGGGGTCAGGACCCAGAATCCTTGGAGGTTGTGATCCAGAAGTGGATGTACATAGGGCAGAACAGCTGCAGGCTGGTGACTCCCCAGTGGCAGGATTCTTGTCTCCTCGCAGGGCCCAGAGCGTGAGATGGATGCCATCCAGGCCAAGGAGGAGATCAGAAAGGCCCGGGAGGAGGACGAGCAGGAGCTGCTGGCTGGGAAATTTGGCTCAAGGCAAAATTTCTTCAATCGATTCTACAGGCGAGATGAATTGTAGTCATGCAGTGGCCAGTAAAGGTACCTAGTGACACCTTGTTTCTATTTTAATTGAATTTAAAAGCTCCTGTGTCTACAGTTACTCGTGTGTGCTTTCCTTTAAAAAACATTCCGTTCCTGCATGTGTGTCTCAGTGGGTTTGGTGACCTCCCCCCCCCCCAGGACCCTTATTCCTCTAAATGCATCCTGTCTGCCAACACGCACCCTTGGGTGGGGGTTGGAGGTCTGGCTGAAAACCTGGCACTTTTTTCCTTAACTCTCCAGTTATTTTTATAAAATAAAAGTTGGTAAAACTTGACAAAGGAGAACAGGCTTGATTGCGTGGGCTGTGAATGACTAGATCTTCAGGTGAAGCGTGCTGGTGGCATCCCATCTATGACAGCAAACGTTTTTTTGGGCCACATTCTTGTAGGAAAAGTGAGATGCATTTGGATGTGAGGAAGAAGCTGATGCTTTTTCACTTTGGGGCTCCCTTGTGTGACTTGTTCCCTGTAACATGTTATGAGCTGCCAGCAGGTTGGCCCTTCCTCATGCTGACCCCAAACTTCATGAAGCAAAGCGCAGTGCCCTCTTCACAACCACCAGTCTACTCCAGTCCATTGTTGCTGTCACTGTGCATTTTAAGTGCCTGCCAACCCAGGGGGCTCAACTTCCAGCACTATTATCAGACAGTGTTCTGCAGTGAAGAATAAGGTTTTCATTGGCTGTGTTGGGAGGTGATTGCCAGGACTTTCTTCCTTAGTGTGGAAGCTCTGTTGAAATCTGTTCAGCATCAGAGCAACATGAAAGCTTCTATGGATCCATGGGGTGGTGCTGGTCCATGAGGCCCCTGGACCAGGAGGGAACCTGTTTCTCTAGAAAGATAAAAATCCTAATACTGCCATTATCCAAAAACGACTGGAACAGTACATCAGCAGAGAACTGTCAGAAGTCCAGGCTGGGTTTAGAAGGGGTCGTGGTACTAGGGATATTGTAGCTGATGTGAGATGGATCTTAGCTGAAAGCAGAGAATACCAGAAGAATGTCTATCTGTGTTTCATTGATTATGCAAAGGCATTTGACTGCATGGATCATAACAAACTGTGGCTGACTCTGAGAAGAATGGGAATCCCAGAACATTTAATCATGCTAATGTGAAACCTATACTTGGACCAAGAGGCAGTAGTCAGAACAGAGCAGGGCAACACTGCATGGTTCAAAACTGGGAAGGGTGTACGCCAGGGATGTGTCCTGTCTCCATATCTTTTCAACCTGTATGCAGAGCAGATTATCAGAGAGGCTGGGCTCTATGAAGAGAAGTGTGGCATTAGGATTGGTGGACGATCTATCAACAATCTGCGTTATGCAGATGACACAACTCTGCTCGCTGAAACTGAGGAGGACCTCATGCACTTACTGCAGAGGGTCAAGGACTGCAGCCTTCAATATGGACTGAGGCTCAATGTCCAGAAGACAAAAATTCTCACCACTGGACCAATCAGTAGCATCAGGATGGATGGTGAAGAGATTGAGATGGTTCACAGAGTCAGTCTGCTCGGCTCCACGGTCAACACTCTTGGCACCAGTAGCCAGGAAATCAAAAAACGTATTGCGATGGGAAAGTCTGCAGTTAGGGACCTCTCTAAAGTACTCAAGAGCAACGGTGTCTCTCTGGAGACTAAGGCGCGCCTGATACAGGCCATGGGTTTTGCAATCACTTGTTATGCATCAGAGAGTTGGACAATGACTAGGGAGGATAGAAGGAGAATTGACGCCTTTGAGCTGTGGTGCTGGAGAAGAGTACTGAATGTACTGCCAAGAAAACAAATAGATTCATCCTAGAGAGGGTTAAACCAGGCTGCTCCTTGGAGGCAAGGATTCTGGGGCTTTGCCTGACATACTTTGGACATGTTGTAAGGAGAGACAGGTCTTTGGAGAGGGACATCATGCTGGGCAGAGTGGAGGGACAGCGCAGGAGGGGAAGACCCTCTATGAGGTGGATTGATTCAGTGACTGGGATACTCGGATGGATGTGTCAGAGGCAGTGAGATTGGCACAGGATAGAGCAGAGTTTAGGGCTGTTGTACATAGGGTCGCTATGAGTCGCAAGCAACTCCAGGCACATAACAACAACAAACAACAACTGCTTGCCTTATTCCTTCCCTTAGACCAGTGGCTCCAAAGTGGGGCCTTGGGACCAGCAGCATCAGCACCATTTGGGAATTTGCTAGAAATTCAGAGTCTTGACCCCACTCAGACCTTTTGATCCACAAGGAGAGCCTGGGGAGTGGGGGGTGGGGGTGGGGTCTGATGCAGGGTCAATGGGAGACCCTGCAGGAGACCTCAGAGGAGGTTGTATGGAGTAAAGATAATCCTTCTGGTTTAGCAAGAGAGCAAGGTGAGGAGTGAACCACACCCGAGAAGCACACAAATCCCTGTCTGAAGGACACAGGGCCTCTGAGTGCCGAGGAGGAGGGAAGGAGGCAGAGCACACAGTCCCAGCTTGCTGGCCTGACATCCTGGGTGTGGCCCTGATTTACCAGTGCCACCATGTGAGACAGGTAAGACAAGCCTGGCCCTCATTAAGAAGATCCTCCTGCCTGCCTGCCTCGTTTGCCCAGATGTAGAAGAGTCTGGACGTGTGGACACCCTCTTCCAGGTGGGCCTGTCCTCTGGTGGCCAGCGTTGTGCAGGGCTCCCTGATGGTTGTGGCTGCAAGAAAAAGGTATCATTCACTGTGCCCTGTTTCAGAAGTGTGAAGTGGGGTGCAGAGAGGCTGTTTAAGTGACCTCTCCAATCACAATGCTGGAACGTGGATGCTGGAAAGTTGGTCCAGGGCTTGGTGGCTACAGCTGCAGTACAGAAAGGGGGTGTTACTGCTTCACTGCTGAGCTCACTTAAGTCCTTGGGGCAGACCCAGGAGAGGGGGTGTCGATCCTGAGCTCAAGGAAGTCCTGGGGGCGGACCCTGAAGTGGGACACACCCACACCCACAAGCTGCTGTGCTGGGCTCAGGCACCTCGCTTGTGCTGGGGCCAGGTGACAGCCTCTCACAGAGGCAAGGTCCTCCCCACAGAGGTGACAGCCCCCATAAAGGTGCCACCTTCCCCACAGAATTGACAACTTCCCCACAGAGGTGACACCCTCCCCAGAGAAGTGACAACCTCCCCACAGAGGTAATATTCCTTTTCAGAGACGTGATACTTCCTCAGTGGTGACAGCCTCCCCACAAAAGTGACATTTCCCCCACAAAGGTGACAACCTCACCACAGAGGTAACATTTCTCCCCATAGAGGTGACAACCTCCCCATAGAAGTGATGCCCCACCAGCAGAGGTGCCACCTTGCCCACAGAGGTGATGGCCCCCAATGGAGGTGCCCCTTCCCCTACCTTGGGGCCACCCCCTCCAACAGAGAAGAGCTGGCATTTTGACCCTCCACCCCGCCCATCTCCCCGGGCAGTCTGCGCATGCGCGGCCCCGCCCCGCCGGGGGTTCGTTTGCGCGCGCACCGCCCCTTCCGCCAGTGCGCGTGCGCGGCACCGCCCCCGGTCCCCGGAGCTCGGAGCTCGAGTCCGCGGGAAGATGGCGGCGCCGCTCATCCCCCTCGCCCAGCAGGTAGGTGCCGGGCGGGCTGGGCCGAGGGCGGGGAGGCCGGGGAGGCTGTGAGGAGGGCGGGCGCGCAGAGTAGTGAGGTCCCCACCCGAGCGGCAGCAGCGTGTCCAGGAGGACGCCCGGAGAGCGGGCCGCCCCGAAGGTGACAGTCCCGCGGGCTCGGCCGGGGCGACCCTCCGGGCAGCGCTGAAGGCGGTTGAGCGTGCGTCCGCCGGGGCTGGCTGTCACGGGGCTCCAGGCCCTTTCCGGGGAGGTGCCGGCGGACGCGCATCTCGGCCGGGTCGCGACCCCCCGAGCCTTTGTCTCCCGCCGCTCTGGCGCCGGGCGGACCGCGTCCCCCGGGAGCCCGGGTTGCAGGGCTGGGCCCTGGAGGCAAGACGTGCCGCCCCGGACCCGTCCGTCTTCTCCCTCCGGCAGCTGCATCTGCCGCCCCGTGCTGGGCGAGCGGGGATCGCGTGTCCTCACCTTTTCCAGAGGCGCTGGCAGAGGGGCGGCATCGGGGGCCCGACCCAAATGTGCAAAAGGGGGCCGAGCACGAACCGCCCCGCCTTCAGAGACCCGCGTCCATTCATTCATCCACCTTTCAGATGTGTGTGCAGACAGGCGGTATGGGCCGGTGGCGGTGACACCCGTGCGAACCAGAAACTACGCCAGTCACCCTCACTTGTGTCTGCTGATAGCGTCGTTGCTGTCGGGGCCCATCCCGACTCAAGGCGAACCCGTGTGGGGTTCCTGGGGGGGGGGCGGTCCTCACGCCTGGGCGGCAGCAATGGTCATCAAGACAAGGTTTCTTCTCCCTTAGGACCAGCTACAGTCAACAGTCATTTATGGACTCCACACAGGTGAAATCTAAAAATGACGAGGCTGAGGGTTTGAACCCAGCCAGAGGCACCTCCAAAGAAAGGCCTGGCCATCTGCTTCCAAAAAGGTCACAGCCTTGAAAAACCCTTGGAGAGCTCAGTGTTCACACACACACACACACACACACACACACACACACGTGGAGTTGCCATCAGGCGGCTATTAATAGCTGCTTTTATTTGCTGCATGCTGAGTCCCTGGGTGGCACACGTGGTTAAGCACTGCACTAACTGAAAGGTTGGCAGTTTGAACCCACCCGGAGGCGCCACAGAAGAATGGCTTGGTGATAGGATGCGTAACAGCCCCAATGCTGAATCCGAGCAGCAGTTTGAAAAATCTTTTTTTGTTGGTTATCTGCTTTGTACTAAACGACAAAACAAAAAACAGGTCCACATAGAACAGCAACCACACGCCACCAAATCGAAAGTTAAATCTTTGGTTGCTGTTGAGTTGATTCTGACTTTAGTGATAATACAGCTGAGTTGGAAGTGCCCCAGAGGGTTTCCTGTACTATATGTTTTTTAAGAAGCTGAGTGCCCCCACTTTCAG